TGGACCATTGAATTCGCTGGCTGAACTTATGACCACCTTAACCTTCGGAGTCTCCAAGAAAATGCGTGTCCTGAGTTTATACGGTAGCCATTCATAGCAATTACTATTATTATTTTTTAGGAGCTCCGGGTAATGGTCGGTCAAACTTGGGTGTGCTTAATGCGCTCTCTGGCCGGATGCGCTGGCAGGCTTTGGAGTCTCTATAACTACAAACCTGTTTTTTTGTTTTGGAATAATGACTGAAATATATTCGGAAATTTAGAATTTCCTTGATGAATTCACAAAATTGACGGTTTTCATAAAAATATAATCTTACAATGGATATTTTATTGATTTTAAACTTTCATTTATGAAAACTCCATTCAGGGCTACAATTACGATTTGAGTTTCCAGTTTAAAGAAAGACAAGCAATAATTATGTACTTTACTATTGATATTGTTCTCAATTAAGCATTGATATTATATTTAACCTACATTTTGTTCATAAATAACACAATTATATATATTTTATCCTCGAAAAGAACTTTTTCGAATCATGAGGCGAAATTCCCCACAGTAAGTGTTGCCGTGCGCGCCAAACGAAAACGTTGCACTCAACCCAAAAGTACTCCTCGGGGACCAATTGATGAAAAACTGCGAAAAGGTTTATTACTGTATATACTGTGGTTTTTCGTAAAGGATAAACTGTACTTTAATTAAAAATTAGTAGAAGAAAAAATAACCCAGAAAAAACCGAAAAAGCTCTGTACCTATTCAAGTGCATGGGAGTGTGTGTACTTATTTGAGACGTGAAGAATAACCTCGAGTGCGGCAGCTGAGCACAGCAGGAAGAAATTAAAAGATACAAAATAAATGCAAATAAATAACTAAAATACATAAAATGTGTGAGTTTAGAGTAGTGAAAACCGAGTAAACGCCGAAAAGTATGCAATATATGGAGAATAGCACAAATATGCGTACATACATATATGGTGGGTGTGTGCGTGCACTAGGGATGTTAATTTTCTCACTTTTTACGATTTTCGGGATGTCGCTATCCCGGATCCCGGGTTTTAGTTATTCATTACTTTTCAACAACTTAAATCCGAATAAATTGCTTCTATCTCGTCTACCATAATAGATTATTATCTATTATTAGAAATAAATGAGTTTGAAACCTACATTTTTATTTAAAGTGGCATTTTTATTTTTTTTCTCTAATGTCAAGATATATTTTAAAGGACTTTGTAAATTCAAAGATGTGATTAATTCTGAAAATTATTTAAAAAATTCAATGCAATGTAAAATAAAAATATGGGTACCAAATGAAAGATAAATTTTCTTTAGAATTAAAAAAACTAAAAATTTTTCGGATGCAGAAGGGCGAATAGGTAATTTGTTAAGCTGATAAAGTTAGAAGGTTGCAATCCGAGGATGTTATCGAGTTTATATAAGTCCTTAACATATAATTTTTACAAAAACTAATATCGTGAAATTTCAAGGATACAATTTTAAAAGGACATTTTCAATACTTACCAGTCCTTATGTACCAAAAACTTGAATCTGATTAAATACATTCACACATTTCACTGAATTTTTTAAATCTTTTTTGAATAACTGACGTCAGAGTGAAAAACTAAAAACGCAATTTTACTATACTTGGCACATGGTTTCGCGAATATATTAATTTTTGTGTGTAAAATTTACTATAGCACGGTGTTATATGTATAATGAGCTAGACATTTATACAAAAATATTAATTATTAAATAAAAAAAGAAATATAGTCAATAGTGGTCAAGAAAACCTCGAAAATCCCGTGAATATTTGCTAGGGTTCTCGGGATTTTTGGGACCAGAAAAAAGGCCGGAATCCCGAGGTTTACATTCCTAGTGTGCACTCACACGCAGCTGACTATACAAACAATGCAATTTAGAAAAGCAATAAGTTCAACAGACAGGCATAACATACTCGTAGATAAATTTTATTCATATCGCTGCGGTATGTTTATATTAATTCGGTTTTATGTATACATACATATATGCCTGCGTGTATATAATTTCGCTATGTAGATAAATGTATACATACATATATGTATATATGTATGTATAGCATATGGATTTGTGGGTACTCACCAGTAACACGAGACGTATGAGCAATCCGAAATTTTCGGGAACAGCAAATCTGTGGTCATCTTGAGATGCAGACGATGACGATGGCGATGCGAACGACGACGTTAAGGACGTTGAGTACGATGCGGCGGATGATGTCAGTCGCTGCTGCACGAAACGCGTCGGATGCGGTCGATTCCGATTGTAGTTGTTGTTTTTGTTTTTATTTCTGCCGCTGCTGTTGCTATTGTTGTTGTTGTTGCTGTGTTGCGTTTGTTTACTACTCGCTTGCTGTTTTATTTGAATGCTTTGTTGTAGCACTTTGGTTGTTTGGGTGCACGCGAACGTAGGTCAGCCACCGAACGAAACGTGTTCTTAGCAGCACTGCACTGTGGGCTGAAGTGTGGGCGTGCAAGACGACTGGGTGGACCCTGTGTATGTATGTATGTATGTATGTACGTAAAATGCGTTCGGTATATTGGGATTATCTCGG